CTGATCCAAGATTCCTTTAATTTTCTCCTTTAAGCAGTTATCTCTTGTTCCTTTTCCCCCGTCCCATCCCTAATCTTTATCCTGACCCCTTCCAAGTGCTAAATAGTTGTAATGGCTTAGTGTTTTCCCCCTGATAGTACCCTTCCTTTCCCTTCCTCTGCTGAGGCATCCTAACCCCCTGCCCCCCATTCTAATTATATTGTATTAATATATTGTCAACCCATGTCTGTTTTCTTAAACAACGCTGTTTGTCGACCTATTTGTATTTGTGCTGCTTTTTCAGCCATGTTTCCCCCTTTTTATCTTTATTTTTATTTATTCTTAACACATTTTATTCTTTATACTCATTTAGTATCAAGTATTAGTCATTAAAGTTTTTCCTGCCCGAAACGCTTTGCGTAATAGTGGCTTTAGGCATTGTATGTACTAGCTCTATCTATAAATCTATCAATTTATGTAAAATCTCTTGTATGTATGTACCTTACCTGAATAAAGATTTTATTTTATTTATTTATTTATATTTTGAGGTCACACAAGCCTACTGTAGCCATTGTCCAGACCAGCTTTGTGGTGTTGCAGTTTCTCCAAGAGCTTCCTGCAATAATCATGTTCTGGTTCATTTTATCAGTTTTGCATCATCTGCAAACATTGTCATGTAGATCAGTTAAATAACTGACATATATTAGAAACAGAATGATAACCAATCTCTCCTCTCACTATTACTCTCTGCCATCTGTTTAACATATATTTTCACCCCACTTCAGTATTCTTCTAGTTACTTTGATGTGTTTCTCAAGCTTGTATAGAAAGTTGATTTGTAGAATCAAATTGACAAATTTTGTGAAATCCATGAAAATGCAATCAGCCCATTCATTACTTTCTTTTTGATCATTATCATCTTGTCGAAGAATTAATAGGTTCATCAGATGTCTTCTCTTCCGATGACCCACAGTGTAGTTTTGGTTACAAAATTACTCATACGAACTCCAATAGCCTCTTGCTGATTACCATCCAGTACCTTATTTGTCAAAGATACAGGCTTGTTGTTTAGCATTTCCTATCTATCATTTTCTTAAATACAGTATAGATATGCCATTAGCTGTCTCCCAGCTGTCTGGTAGTTTTCCTCTCTTCAGTTACACCTTGTAGATTATTGTAAGACATTTGCTTAGAACTTCAGCAGATTTCTTTGGTATCCATGAGAAAACCTGGTCATATAACCTCTGATATGTTTAGACCCCTCAGAATGTTTCTTTATGTACTCTGCAATTACTTCTGGACAATACTTCTGTCACTCTGTCAAGGGTGTCCTGTCTGCTATAGCTGTCGGGTGTTCAGAGTCCAGTTTGGGTTAATGGCAAGTCAACTTTAGATGTGTTAGTGGTACATAGTACTATGGTGGCTGTTATATTAAGTCTTTGTGTACATGGCTCAAATGATGCTGGAGGTTGATAGTGTTATTGGCATACTGTATCAAATGTTAGTGATACCTGTATAATGTATCGGTGATAGTGGTCTACTGTGTTGGTATTAGTAACCAATTCTAAATTAACCGTAGGTTAAATATATACTTCCTTATATATCCATATAATTAAGTACTGTATACAGTACTATAGTTACAGGATGAGAGGTACGCAAGTGGTGTCCCATCTTCCCAGTACTACGTCATGTGAAACTTTGAAACTACTGAAGGTTCTGTGTATATTAATATTTGTTTGGAAGGGGCGAGCTCCAGCTCTTTGGTCACACCGTTGAACCTTAAATTGACTGGGGTATGGGAACAGGTACACACATGTATTTATGCACTCTCCTACCTGTGTTTCGGGTACTGAATGCCAGCTTCTGCCTGTTAAAGTGTTTACGCTTAAGAATATTAATAAATGTGTTGATAGTACTGTATACAAAACTGGAAATTGCATCCCTCAATCAATTAATAAAAATTTGCTTAACCCCTTTATTGTTTTTGTGACTCCTGCACTTTGCTAAAAAAAAAAATGCCAGAACGTTCCGATGACTGTAATCCTCATTTTCAATATCATTTCAGTTCACTTTAACTTGCCTTTTTGTTATTTTATTTTGCTTTCAATGAATTTTGAAAAACCATCATAAAGTACAACTCTTTAGCTTAAAAAGATACCTAATGAACACTTTACCATATATAGTAACTTTGCAGTATGCACTGGAAGTAAAATATCGCTAAGCAATTTGCGCTTGGGCCAAGACACTGGTAGCACCACAAATTAGAAAGGGGCAAAATCGTGAAAGGGTTATTACAATACAGTACAGTACTAGATAACCTAGATTGCAAATTGAATGAACGACCCAAAAAAAAGGCCAAAAGGTCCAAAAAAACTTTTATTAAAAGTTATGCCTTAATTATAATCACACAAGCCCCCAAAAAGTCTTACCTAACCTAAGGCTTATAAATATGTACTGTATTTGGATAGACCCGTGGTAAATTGAGCTAATGGTGATGGTTTCATGGGAAATCATCAACAATTAAAAATTTCAAAGATTTATCCCATTTCTGTAACTCTTTCTTTATGACATTTCTTCAACATTTCTTTAAGGACATAAAGAAAATGACCGATTTTCACCATTTTGACATATTGTGTGCTCGGCTGTCTGTTCTACAATCCCTTCAGAATGGATTTTTCATAGACCCTATACGTTTGGAGTTATAATTGTTTTTGGTCTAAATTTGCCGCATATTTCAAATGCCATATTGAAATTTTTTTTTACAGTAAACTACTGTACTGTATACTGAAAACCTATATTCTAATTTATGAAAATGAAGATCATATGCTATTTTGAGAGAATAATAACATCAAATGAACAACTGGTGATAGTTGAAACTTTTTATTCTGATTTGAAAATCTGAAGTTTTTAATATTCAATTTTAAGATTATTTTTGATTCTCTAGTTTTTCAAGTTACGTTGTGATCACTTAGACAAAGTTGGAGCATTTGTCTAGTTGATTATGCACAAAAAATTGGAGTGTGTTTGTGCAAGTTTGAAAAATTTGAGTTATGTCAAATCGTATATGTATGTTTTGTGCGGTTTAAGGATTAATCTATCTTTGATAAGGAAGTTTATTTCCCAGAATATAAAAAAAAATCCACATTTCACTAACAGCAAAACTAATAAAATATTTATCTTTTGTATTTTATTTACAAAAATTATACTTGACTCAGTGGACCAGTTACTTTCTGGTTCAGTGAGTCCTAGATGACATATTTATTTATAAATCATTCCATGGCATTTTCAATTATCATGAATTTACCATCTTGAAGTTATTTTGAGATGATTTCAGGGCTTAGCATCCCCGTGGCCCAGTCCTCGACCAGGCCTCCTTTTTGTTACGCATCCCAAGAAGCAGCCCGGAGCAGCTGCCTAACTCCCAGGTACCAATTTACTGCTAGGTGACCAGAGCCATCATGGTGAAAGAAACTCTGCCCATTTGTTTCCGCCTTCTCTGGAGATCGAACCCGGAACCTTAGGACTACGAATCCCAAGCGCTGTCTGGCCCTGTCAGGCCCTCTTGTAAACAAGTGGTTTTGCTTACAAGCAACAAAAGTTTACTATATGTTGTCAGTTGTCATATTATGAATCCTAAAGTTTATTGTATGACAATTCTATGAATCCAGAATCCAAACTATTCCTAATGTATATACAATATGCAGTACTTTAAGTTATTTTCAATCTTTAATTTACACGAGAATTCAGCTTCCAGTTTACACACGAATTTAGCCCTCCAGTTTACACGAGAATTTAACTTCCAGTTTACACGAGAATTTAGCTTCCAGCTTACACGAGAATTTAGCTTCCAATTCACATTGAAATATGAATAATTTTGTAAAAATAACAAAATATACAGTCTACAACAGGGGCAATTACTATATTGGTGTAAACTACAAACAATTATGAAGTGAACTGTTGCCCTCTATATCTTTGCTTGACAACAACGTGAAAAATAAACTGAACTAAAAAGGATAAAAGTGACAGTTAAATATACATAACAATCAAAATGACTTGCATATCAAGTAGGCTTACAGTGGCATAATACAATATTTCTAGTCGTACGTGTTTAAACAGTGCGTAATCAATAGCAGTTTCTAGGGTTAGTATTTTAAGCTACGTCCACCTTTCCCGACAAAAGCAAAAGAATCTAATACCGTGTGCGTAATTTAATTATCAAATAATGTTAAATTATATTAGTGTCTTAATTTAATAAAAATAAAAATTACAAAATAGAATAAAGCAATGTAATTAAAGAGAAAATAGTAGACAGAAAATTACCTCCAAATAAAGCTGATTAATATGGAAAGAATACAAAAAAAAAAAACTACATAAGAATGCCATTTGAGGATCGACAACAGTGCAGTTCTAGAACAATGTTGTTCAGGAACAAGCAACAAGATTAGGAAAAGTCATCCATATACCAGAAATACATAATCATATTTGTAAATAAAATTGTACGAGAATAGCTCGGCGTGTTGGTACAGGGGGTATTAACAATGAAAGGAAAGCTTCTGCAGTATTAAGTCTGTTGAACAGTGGATGCAGGAAAAAGGCTATATGTTTATGGATTAAGCTGAGAAAATGAATAACATTCAAGGAAAAAATTAGTTTAAGGAAGCATTTCATAGTATGTAAAGCAATTAAAAAAAATGCAAACAATTGATTGGATGAATACAATAACTGTGATAACAAATAATGCATTATGAAATGGTTTGTAATTGTTATCAGTTAAGGTACAAAAGGAAGCAGAATATTAAAAAATACAGCACCATCTATATCATTACAACGAAAGCAAAGATGATTGATGGCCAAGGCATGACAATTCACGCTGTTACACAGACTGTTGAAATAAATACTAGAGCAGCTTATAAGACAGACAAGCTCAGGCTCGCATCTCAAAGCCTTTAAAAACGCAAGACTGTCTCAGATAAAGTGGATGATTAAGGTGTGAGATTGTCATAGAGAAATCGTCCACCTACCGGCCCTGCCTTGGAAGGTGTCTGTGTACCAATGGATTCCCGCACCACCTTGCGTCCCTCCTCGTCCTCTGCTACTTCAGTATTTTGCTTGATTTGCTGCAAGATTCAACTGGTGGTGATACCTTTCCCACTGAGTATGCAGAATGCAAAATACATGCAATACTGACCTTCAGGAAAACAACCATTTACTATAAAACATTGTACATTTAGATCGGCAAATAAATAAGTACGCTATAACTAACCAATGTACAAAACTAGGTAGACCAAAAAGTCATAAATACATATACAGCATACTGAAAGTACTTTTGTTTGATTTCCCACCGTCAAGAACAGGTAGCATATTAAGTTTATCAACCCCCTACCTTCTCCTCTCTTACCTTGAGGAGGTTCTGAGATCAATGTTTTTACAGTCCAGTCTCTGACCAGGCCTGCTTGTTGGGTCTGATCAAACAGGCTGTTAGATGCATTTTTCATTACTTGATCATGTAAGTCACCTCATTACTTTCCTGACAGTTGGAAAGCTTATTTAGTACTATAGACCTGCAGTATTTGTAAATTGTTGTAGAACTAACCTGGAGCTTGGCTAGTGGAATAATGTCACAGTTCTGGGGTCGGTGCCACACAGTCTTCTGTGATGTGGCGTTGTAGTAGTAGAACCGTGATGTGTTGATGTCAAACAATTCCCACCACTGGTTGTCATCGAACTTCTTCCTGTTGGTGAAAAAGACAGTTTGACAATTTTTTGCTTCCCAGGAATATTCCTTTGCATGCCACTAGTCTCAGGGTGGCCCACTCTGACAAAACATAGGCTACTCTCTAATTGTCTGACAGTGGCTATCATTTTCTTTTGAAAACTATTTACTCAACATTCGTTTGGTAAGATTAGATAATAAAATAATTAGTTACGACAGTCATTTGCAGCCAAATCACAAAGTGTTTTCATAAACTCCTATGAAATATCTTTAAATATCTTTAAATCTATCTAAAAATATATAATATCTTTAATATCTAAAAATATCTTTAAATATCTTATAAACTGCCAGACCTAGTAAGTGAATTATGGGTACACGACGACAGAACAACCACGTGAAACAATTCATGGTAAACACCCGGGTTGGGGGGGGGGATTTCAAATGGTTCCGATAGTTTGAAAGTTTCAACGAATTCATTTGGGCAGTTCATGTTTATCAATATTCCACTTGATACCCACTCAGTATCACAGAGTTCCTCTCTCTGATACTCAGGGTTACCCAGCTCCTCTCCTTGATACTCAATATCAGTCAATTCCTCTCCCTAATATCCACTCAGGATCACCCAATTCCTCTCCCTGATACCCACTAAGAATCTGTAACCACTGTCCATTCTCTCCAGCTCTAAAGGAAATAAAAGTGTTTTGCCTCACTAGAAATAAACAAACCCAAGAAACTCCCCTAATCTATCACGACCAATGCACAGAAAACATCTATATTACAGTGCTTTAATTTTAACTAATAGGTCTCATTTTTAATGGAATGATTGGTTTTGTAAAATATGCAATAAAATATGCACGCGATGAGAGAATGTAATTCTGATAGCACACTCCTCATCTGGTTACTCTCTGCATGCCTCCTATGGGGGCAATAGGCCTTCTGTAGTGTCTTGTACAACTTGTCCAAGTGTCAATATTGCAACCTCTCCTCCAAATATAACGGTATCTATAGTTACTATGGATGGGATGTACATAATACATGCATAGCATTTTGGGCAGGTCAAAATTTTTCCCAGAATACGACCCGACACATCATTTAACAACCAGGTACCCATTTATTGCTGGGTGAACAGAGGCTACAGTTAGGGATTGGCACCTAGTCGATCCTCCCTGGCCAGGATATGAACCCAGACTAAAGCATCGCAAAGCGCCGGGCGAGTGTCTTACCACTGTGCCATGGGGACTTGTAGGGCTATAGGACTGACCCCAACCCACCTATGACAATACCCCTAACCTAACACCTCCAAAGAATACCTTATCAACCAGGCTGTAATTTATACACCTGGCTGCGAGCAGCCACGTACAACAACCTCATTGACCAGATGACCAACTGGGAGGCCCGGTCGGAGACTGGGCCACGGGGGCATTTAATTCCCAGAACCCCCACAAGGTAGCCACAAGATAGGTAGGTAGCCCTAAACTAATCACCCTGCAGAGTTCAATGAGACTAGCCCCAAGTGTCTGGCCTCCAACCATGGACCAGCCACCATATTTCATAGATGACCAAGTAATGAGGGAACAGATTCTATAAGTTATCATGGTTTATTGTTTTTCCTGAGGGGCTGTGCTCGGGCCAGAGGGGGCTGTCCTCGGGCCAGAGGGGGCTGTCCTCGGGCCAGAGGGGCTGTCCTCGGGCCAGAGGGGGCTGCGTGTCGGGCCAGAGGGGGCTGTCCTCGGGTCAGAGGGGGCTGTCCTCGGGTCAGAGGGGGCTGTCCTCGGGCCAGAGGGGGCTGTCCTCGGGCATCAACACCACCACCCATACATGAACATAATTGCTCACCCACACACACAGACACACGCACATAATTACTACCAGAAGAACTTCTAGTTTACTCCTGGCATACACAATTTATTCTCAAGGTACACAGCTTATTCTGAGGTTAAATAGGTCAGTGCGCTGTGACTGTTTTGTTGGAAGTTGGCACGTGATGCTGTTAATGAAGAGCCCTGAACCCAGTATGAATATACAACCTGGAATATAAATGAGCACTATATATACTGTGTATATTTGTGTGTACTCACCTATTTGTGCTTGCAGGGGTTGAGCTCTGGCTCTTTGGTCCCACCTCTCAATTGTCAATTAACTGATGTACAGATTCCTGAGCCTACTGGGCTCTATCAAATCTACATTTGAAACTGTGTATGGAGTCAGCCTCCACCACATCACTGCCTATTGCATTCCACCTGTTAACTACTGACACTGAAAAAGTTCTTTCTAACATCCCTGTTAGAAAGAATGGGTACTAAATTTCCACCGGTGTCCCCTTGTTTGCGTACCGCCAGTGTTAAACAGTTTATCCTTATCTACCCTCTCAATTCCCCCTGTGAATTTTGTAGGTAGTGATCATGTCTCCCCTTACTCTTCTGTCTTTCAGTGTTGTCAGGTGCATTTTTCCCGCAGCCTTTCCTCATAACTCATGCCTGTGTGTGTTCACCTAGTTGTATTCCACCTAGTTGTGTTTGCGGGGGTTGAGCTCTGCTCTTTCGGCTCGCCTCTCAATTGTCAACCATTCAACTGTTACTAACTGCTAACTTTTTCTTTTCTCACACACACATACACCAGGAAATAGCTCATAGCAGCTGTCTTGACTCCCAGGTACCTATTTACTGCTAGGTAACAGGGGCATCAGGGTGAAGGAAACTGCCAATTTGTTTTTCCGGTGCCGGGGGGATCGAACCCCGGTTCTCTGATTGTGTCTATGGCACCTCTGCTCTTCACTGGTTCTATTCTGCATTTTCTGACACATCGTTCACTCCAGTACGTTATTATTTTCCTGTGTAGATTTGGTACTTGGCGCTCCAGTATCTTCCATGTATATATTATTTGATATCTCTCTCGTCTTCTTTCTAGTGGGTACATTTGGAGGGCTTTGAGACGATCCCAATAATTTAGGTGCTTTATCGCGTCTATGCGTGCCGTATATGTTCTCTGTATTCTCTCTTTCAGCAATCTCTCCTGCTCTGAAGGGGGAAGCGAGTACTGAGCAGTACTCAAGACGGGACAACACAGTGACTTGAAGAGTACAACCATTGTGATGGGATCCCTGGATTTGAAAGTTTTCGTAATCCATCTGATCCTTTTTCTGGCTGACGCAATATTTGCTTGGTTATGCTCCCTAAACGTTAGGTCGTCAGACATCATTATTCCCAAATCCTTTACATGCTGTTTTCCTGCTATGGGCACATTTGATTGTATTCTGTACCCTCAACAGTACCAGGCAGGTACCAGGCAGTTTGATGCAGCTGCTCGCAGTCTGGTGTATGAATCACAGCCAGGTTGATCAGGTATCCTTTGGAGGTGTTTTTCAAGTTAACACCAAGAGAAGCCAGCCATATGAAGTCATTAAAATATAATTAATTTACATTCTGGAGGAGGAAACCTTTACAGGAGCCAGCAATAATGATGAGGACATTGCAGACGATTACGACTGGAAAGAACTCTTCATATCATGCTTTGCTCCTAAGAATGATCCCCCGTCTGAAGCTGTATCTCGTTGCCTTCTCGAGATATTTGGGAATATGAGACCGGAGTAGAGTAATCAGCCCATCGATGTACCACAGGAATCCAGTGAGAAGTCCTACACTATCTTAGAGGCTGCCAGGTTCCAGCCTGCTGAATGCAGCCAAACATTCTTACAGAAAAACAATCAAAAGTCCTACGATGTCATACAAACATCCAAGTCTTTTACTGTTCGTTCTGCATTCACCAGTGAGCCTATTACAGTAATGTTATTATTGGTGGGGCCAGTAATGTGGACGTAGTCCAGAGAAGTGCGGATGAAGCCTTGGGAAGTGTGGACAAAGTCAAGGAGAGTAAGGACATAGTGAAGAAGAGTGCGGGCAAAATCAGGAAGAGCAAAACTAACAGACGTCCTTTACGATATCCTCTAAGCCAGAAAATTTTGTCTCCCGTCCGTCTTGCGGTGTTTTGGTAGCCTCGAAAGGGCACCTGCAGAGGCACCAATCGGCCCATTGTGCCAACAAACACTTCCAATGCTCCCTTTGTGACTGTCCTTTACATGGAGAGAGAAGCTGAGCAAGCATCTCCAATGTGCCCATGCAATAATTCCTAAATCCAAGTGAAATAAGCTGCAGAAAAACTCATCGCAGTTTCTGGCTGTGATTGCTCGGTCATAAATATTGATACATAATGGAGTAAGACATGAGAAAAGAAGTGTGTTATGTGACCAGTGTGTGTGGCAGCGTGGGGCCTCACACTTGTCTCATCACCAGCCACTTACCTCCAATGGATACACTTTTACATTACCACTAATTCTGTAATAAGTTACGTATACCAGACACAGATGTGCTGGCTCGGAGACACAAGTCATGCTACACTCAGCAATGATGTGAATAAATGTGCTGATACTTGTTTGAGGAACCAGGTGGGTAAACTGTGCTTACCAGCAGCCAGTAAGACCAACCCTTCCTCTCAACTAATAGGTTGCAGTTTAGACGTTATGTTAACCAACGTCTAAAATGCAACCTATTATAAAAAGTAACGGCTCACAAATATCAAAGTTTTCTATACATTGGCAGGTTAGGTTAGATTGGTTGGTTAGGTTAGGACATTGAATTTTGTACGCCGAGTCAAATCAAGGGAACAGGCTACACTCTACAGAAAACTTTACTGTGACACACAGCTGAGGTGAGACTGACCTTCGGGACCTGGAGCCGAGGGAGCCTCCGCCACACTGCACCGCTGCCACCATCTTCGCCGTCAGCGACAGCAGAGACATTATTGTCGAGGGTGCCACCACAGCACACGCAGCGCTCTTCTGCCCCACAACTAAGCACACACTATATCGTCTTTTCTCAATTTAGCATATTTCCATGCATAAAATGTTACATGTTAATATCACAGAAGTCACATTAAGTTGCTAGTAATGTTCACTGTTGCTGCATTTTCCTTCAACAGGAGCCTCACTGTCCTGCTGCCAGGCCTTCCTTGTGGTGGCACTGGAGTACGGCCAGTGTCCTCGTGCAACAATTTGAGTCTTAAAACCTTAGAATAAGGAAGAAAAGGGTGTTTTGGGAGAACTTGTGATCGGTATAGCATTCCGGGGGGAGGGGACAGTAGACACTCTAGGGGGACAGAATACATACTCCGGGGGGGCACCTGGAACTTATCACCATTAAACATCATGTTTTTTTCAGTTGCTTAATCAAATACATTGTTTATATCTGCCTGTAGTTTTTCAGTGTCTTCTACAGTGGCCATTTTCATGCTGATTTTTATATCATCTGCAAAGGATGACACGAAGCTGTTGGATGCATGTGTGTTGAGCTCACTTATTGACTGCAACTCGGCAGCAGATCCGATGTCAGTCAACAGCAGCATCAGCGAACTTGCAGATGTTAGCAACCCGCAGTGGGAAAACACGTTCATGACCAGACCATCAACAGCAGCAGGGCTGTACACATCATCCACCCTCTCGCTGGCTAGCTCGTGGCCAGCAGATATTTTATATATTTTATAACAAAGAAGAGAAAGCCACACCTGTTTTGTACGGTATTCCTTCCCACTATCAAGAAAGCTACAACAACCACCGATAACCCTATAATACTGGTGGCAGCGGTGGGATCACATCTATAGCACAGCATCTACAGCACAGCAGCTACAGAACAGCAGCCAGCAACTCACCGTGTGAGACCTCACTAGTGACATCAGTAACAGACACTGTTGTGAGTGACATCAGTGACACTACAGTGTATTAGTGTGTACCACATGTACTAGCATGTCCAGCCCCATGCCCCTGCGACGACCTGATCATCCCTACCACGTTGAATTGACTGCAGCACCAGCAGCTTTTCAGCTCTTGTTAAGTACCCTGTGTTATTTTTTTCAGCAGACGACTAGATAAGCTACTGAAACTGAACTGAAATCAGTGAAGTGCACTGAAATCAGCTTTGACAGATTCTAGATGGGATTCACGAGGTAGCCTACACGGTGTTGGACATCTCAAAGCTTGTTTGAGGCTACTATAGATAAATTGTACTTAAATATTACTTAGGTACACAACCAAGAAGTTCGTCAAGCAGATTGTCGAGGACGCCGATGATAGAGTGCCAAGCGGTGTTGGACGTATGGTTGTTGAGCTCACTCATCGAGTGCAACTCATCAGTGGATCTGATCTCAGTCAACAGCAGCATCAGCGAACTTGCAGATGTTAGCAACCCGCAGTGCGAAAACACGTTCATGACCAGACCATCAACAGCAGCAGGGCTGTACACATCATTCACCCTCTCGCTGGCTAGCTCGTGGCCAGTAGATATTTATATATTTTATAATAAAGAAGAGAAAGCCACACCTGTTTTGTGCGGCATTCCTTCCCACTATCAAGAAAGCTACCACATCAACCGATAACTCTATAATATTGTGACTAGTATTTTTGTCTATATCAGAGATAAGAATGAGAAATAGCAGTGGTGCAAGGACTGTGCCCTGGAGTGCTAAGCTTTCCACTGCACTTAGGCTCGATCTTACTTGATTTACCGTCACTCTCTGCATTCTGGTTGACAGAAAGTTGAAATCCAATGCCCCACTTTCCCGTTATTCCTATCGATCATTTTATGGGCTATCAATCCATAGTCACATTTGTCGAATGCCTTTACAAAATCGGTGTATACAACATCTGGATTTTGCTTTTCCTCTAAGGCTTCTGTGATTGTCATAGTGGTTGGGTAAATGACAGGATCTTCTCGCTCTAAATCTATGTTGTCCGGGGTTGTAAAGTTCATTATGTTCCATAAACTGGAAATTTGATTCCTAATCATTCTTTCAAAAACTTTTATCATGTGTGATGTGGGCAACTAGGCATAACTCGCCGACATCTCATTGTGTTCAAAAGAGAACTTGAGAAGCACCTCCAAATGATGTCTGATCAACTAGGCTGTGATTGTTATGTCAGATTCCGAGCAGGAGCATCTAACAGTCTGGGTGACCAGACCACAAACCAGATCCCCTGGTCAGAGACCTGGTCGTGGGAACACTGATCCCCACAACCATCTCAAGATAACCTCAAAGTAGGCTGAGCTACAGCCCTTGGGTCCTGCCTGTCAACACTTAATCACGTGGCTGAAGACTAAGTCACTCCATACATAACTTACATGTTAAGCTGTGTATGGAGTCTGCTCCCAACACTTCGGTTCTTGCCACATTCCACCTGTTCATTATCCCGACACTGAACAAATTATTTCTAATTATTATGTGAAGTCAGGTTAAGGTTCAAAGTTCAAGCGCGACCCCGACCCCAAGGGACTAGTCCTTGCACCTCATGCTCCGGTTAATCTGACACCACTCCGGGTGTAGTGGTATCAGGTTAGGTGATGTTACAACTGTCCTGTCTGTTCTCCAGAGTAATTTGTATGTGGTAATCATGTGTCCCCTGTTTCTTCTCTCTTCTCTTTTATTTCTTTTAATTCATAAACAGCTTGTAAGGGGGGGGGGGAATTGACGAGGCAGGTGTAGGAATAATGAGTATTTAATTAATATTTCCAGTACAGTCTGTAACACTTAAGGTATACCTTAGGGTATTCTCCACGTATACTTGAGGTATACCTCAGGGTGGAAGTTTACAGTTGGCCTCTGAGGGACAGAGGCCAAGAGAGGCACGGGGGAAGGGGGGGGGGGCACTGCGCACACAATCACCACCAATAGACAACAATTTAGCAAGTATGCATCACCACCTGTGGCGCCTCTCTCCTACCCTCCCTCTCTCCCTCCCGGGGAGCCGGTCAGCCGAGCGGACAGCACGCTGGACTTGTGATCCTGTGGTCCTGGGTTCGATCCCAGGCGCCGGCGAGAAACAACGGGCAGAGTTTCTTTCACCCTATGCCCCTGTTACCTAGCAGTAAAATAGGTACGTGGGTGTTAGTCAGCTGTCACGGGCTGCTTCCTGGGGGTGGAGGCCTGGTCGAGGATCGGGCCGCGGGGACACTAAAGCCCCGAAATCATCTCAAGATAACCTCCCTCTCTCCTTCTCTCCCTCAAAACACTTCCCTGCCTCCTTCCCTCCACTGAAGTATGATTATATAGCACTTGGAAATGACACGAGGACAAGGAACGTCGGCGGGGAACCAATGGCACACGTGCCAAATGTGGCACGCGTAACTATTTTGTTATACACAAGTTATTCAAAGTGGTCACCCTACCAACTAGTCTAAATGGTTGGTTCTTCATGAACATAACGACAAGAATAACAACAGACCAAGATCATGGAGGACTTGCATAGAAAGGGAATGCACTCCTATACATCATTTAAATATTAGGAATGATAGTTATGTAGATTGGGAGCCGCTGCATTGAACAATCGTCAGCTGGAAAGGTGGGACCAAAGAGCTGAACACTGATCCTACAGGTGGAAATAGGTAAGCATACAATGTGTACTCACATAGGTGTGCTTGTGGGGGTTGAGCTCTGGCTCTTTGGTCCCGCCTCTCAACTGTCAATCAACTGGTGTACAGATTCCTGAGCCTATTGGGCTCTCTCATATCTACATTTGAAACTGTGTATGGAGTCAGCCTCCACCACATCACTGCCTAATGTATTCTATCCGTTAACTACTGAGACACTGAAAAAGTGCGTGTATTCACCTATTTGTACTCACCTATTTGTGTTTGCGGGGGTTGAGCTCTGGCTCTTTGGTCCCGCCTCTCAACCGTTAATCAACTGGTGTACAGATTCCTGAGCCTACTGGGCTCTCTCATATCTACATTTGAAACTGTGTATGGAGTCAGCCTCCAATCAGTCAGTGTGTGTACGCGTGTGTGTGTGTGTGTGTGTGTGTGTGTGTGTGTGTGTGTGTGTGTGTGTGTGTGTGTGTGTGTGTGTGTGTGTGTGTGTGTTCGTGTGTGTGTGTGTGTACGTACGTGTGTGTGTGTGTACGTGTGTGTGTGTGTACGTGTGTGTGTGTGTACGTGTGTGTGTGTGTGTGTACGTGTGTGTGTGTGTGTGTACGTGTGTGTGTGTGTGTGTGTGTGTACGTGTGTGTGTGTGTGTGTGTGTACGTGTGTGTGTGTGTACGTGTGTGTGTGTGTACGTGTGTGTGTGTGTGTGTGTATGCGTGCGTACGTGTGTGTATGCGTGCGTACGTGTGTGTATGCGTGCGTGAACAAACTAGGTGACCTTTAATGTGAGGTCTACCAGCCCACAACACGAGATTTATCTGACCACATAGTGTGTGAAGGTCGCCATAATACTCACCAAGAACCAACCACTTGGTGTGGTCGGCAGAGTGACTGCTTCACTTCCTGCAGTGTCGGGGGGGGGGGGGTGTTCGATCCCCGATGGTCCCATAAGGTTGGGCACCGTTCCTTTAATCCGTTCTCATACACTGGTCCCCTTGCCCTCATGTCACTTCCAAGTGCTATATAACCATACTTGCCAAGTGCTGCTGTTTACGGGCTCGCCATAGCCCGTGCTACATAGACATTTCGTTCTGAGTAGCTAAATCTAAAAGGTAAGTCCATCACGGGCTCACCATAGCCCGTGCTACTTGGAACTTTTAGTTCATGGAACTTTTTAGTTCTTTAGGTAATGTCACGACATTCGTTAAGCATCTTACACAGATTCTCAGAATTACACGCTCGTCTTGCACTACGAAAATGACGTTATTATTCAAACACAGAAAATGGGGAAATGCTGTTCATGGGGTTCTCAAGAAATATGAGGTCACCTCACGAGGTTTCAGTAACACTGTTGATAGATCGAGTGGCGAGGCTTTACACAGGCACAGTGCCGCTGGTGAGTCAACAAGCCACCGGTAGTGCCAACATGGCACTTCCCTCGTCGTGTCTGGCACAATTACATAATGTAGGTAATTAAGGTAGTGAACCGGCTGTAAGTTCCACCTGGCGTGAAGCAGATGGTGTGAGGTGTCAGAACTTCCTCCACTGAGGAAGGTGGCAGAATGGGCACTAGATCGTGTAAACTAAGTGGTTTACAGGTTCTCGAACCTGTTGGGCTGTACCGTTGAGGCTGGACGTGGGTCTACCTCCACCACA